CATACATAGTCTTAATCTTTCAACACAATCAAAGGACACGAAAGAGTGGGTTGCCCCTGAGTCAAACATAGCACACAAGGGATGATTTTGTAAGAGTACATTACCTCGAATCAAGTTAGGTGAAGCACCCGCCTCTTCAGAAGTCATAGCGAACACACGCCCTGGTACAGATGACCTAGGGGTCTGGTTGTTTCTCTTAGCCTTGTTGCAATACTTAGCTAAGTGTCCCGGCTCTCCACAATTAAAGCAAATCCAGCACTCTCCGAAGTGTTGCCTCCCACATCTAGGACAAGCGAGATGGTTAGTCACACTAGGAGTAGATGCTACAGAGCCACGCTGGGAAATTTGACTCCCTCCTCCTTGACTTCTCTGGGTCTGAGCGCCGTGGAAACGGTTCCTCTGCTGAGAGTTTCCTTGATAGGATTGTTTTCTGTTGCCAAAACTACTAGCACCTGATTGGCTAGTTTTCTTCCCCACTCCACCAGTGGGTCCCGTATAGCCACTAAATCGTCCTCCAGATCCTGAGGCACCGGTTTGGCGGCTAAAGCGCCCAAGGTTGTCTCTTCTACGATACTCATCAGCTTCTCTCATCCTCCGTGCAACTTGACGGATATGAGTACACATCTTTTCAAAGGTAGTGACCTCTACTGTGGCCAATTGTTGCTTAATCTCTGGTCTGGCTTTCTCCATTAACTGAACAGCCATCCACCAAGTGTTTCGATAACGATCTAGGTATGCCACATACTTGGATAGATCTATGAATTGGCCAATAAATTGATCCTCATGCATGTTTCCCTGTTGCAGGGCATAGAACTCCGCTTCCTTCTGTTGTCTGACCTCCATTGGAAAGAAGTAATCAAAGAACAAATCCTTGAATTGATTCCAAACCATCCTTCTATCATCCATGGGTCTCACACTATCCCACCATTGCTTTGCCCTTCCTTCTAACAGAACCTTGGCAACCTGCACCTTTTGCTGGGAACTACAATTCACCGTACTAAACAGGGTCTCCAATCGGTCTATCCAAGCCTCTGCTTCTACAGAATTCAGACTACCCTTAAAAGTTGGAGGGTTGAAGCGGCCTATATACTTCCAGACTGTTGTTATAGGAATGTCTGGTAACACCTCAGCAACCTCTTCTTCATTTACTGTTTCCTGCTCATTTGACTGTCCCCCATTATGTCCAATACTATCACCATCATGATGACCTTCCATCTCTGGAGAGATTTCAGCTTCCTTGTTCCTTCGATTATCTTCCATTTTTCTAACCCGCTCGTCAAGGGAAAGAATTACAGCTTGTAATTGTCTTAAGATCTCATCATTAGTCTGATTAGCTTGACTATTGCCATTAGGTGGCTGGCGACTTCCCTCACCAGCATCAACAGTACGCCTGGTACTTACCATCTCTCCCCACCTAAGGGTAGAACCCCACAAAAAGAAAGGTAAACACTTAAGAAAGGAGAAAAGAGGAGAAATTGAAGGGAAGCATAAGTGTAATGATTGTATATTGCCATAGATACTATATGAAATGCACCAGGGATCACACAAAACCTTGAAACTGATACCAAGTTGAAAAGACCTCTTCTTAATATATAATTATAAAACCATTTTTAAAATGATAACCATGGTAGAAAAAGAATTGAGTTAGAGTGTTAAAATACTACCATGGTTATAAAGAGTTTGACTTATTTCGAAAACGTCCCAAGTAGCTCAGGATGCATAAAACACCCATGGGTTTAACAATGTAGAACAAAACCTCAAGGCACAGTAACCGCCCACAAGCCCAACATAATATTCATCCCACAAAGACTTAGGGCACAAGAAACACAGGGTGCTCAACCCAGCCCATAAGTCATACATCGCACACAGCAGAGTCTTATGGCCTGCAGCCATTTTAACAGTATTCCATCAAATACAGTCATCCAAACAAAAGAAAGTATATGTCAACACAGTTGTGGGCCCTAAGATGGCAATATACATAACATTACATGCCTAAACCAAAAGAGGACTACTAGGCTATGCTCGCCTATGCCTCTGGTTGCTTCCCTTCGCGCCGAGCCAAACTAGATGGCTCTCCTGAAAAGTATTGATGAACAGCGGGGTGAGACGTAAAGTCCCAGTAACCAAGTATTAATTTATGACATATACAAGTAGGATGGCAAGTTGGTGAAGTAGTGCTTAAATATAGTTTAAGAAATAAATGGTACTTTAATAGATATAATCACATAAAAAGAGTATATCTCTCCATCCACAACACAATTCATATAAAAGTACATATATGCAACAACACAATGAAATATGCCCTCCCATCACCTTGCTCCTCCTTATGACTCCTTGACAAGGACCCGGGCTTTCTGTGCTGAGTAACCCGGCCAAAGGTCACCCCACTCACATCAAGCAACGGGCCCCCTCCTGTACCTACACCGCCCAAGAATGGACTATGGTGCAAGAGGTGTCTACCCAAGAGTTCATTCTCAATTCCGGGCCAAGGAAAAGGAAGAACTACAGGGGTCTAACAATAAGGCCAAACACTGGGATCCGTAGTGTAGGCATGCCGCGCGGGCTTCAAGAACAATTATCCTCCACATAACAAAATCCCATCCTCCACATATGAACCCCATGCATAGTCACAATATAAATCAAAATATCACAATCTTCAAAGTAAGATGATATAATTTCAAACAAAGTATAACACATTTTCATTTCATTTAATAACATAATATTAGTATATTAAATTCAGTACTACACGAAAACACAATTTCCAATAAAACACAACTCAAACATAATTAGATCAACATACTTCCCACTTCACCAAAATTTGTCATATAATAAAATATATTTTATTCACAGGCATACTTTTACAAATTAACTAAGAAAATAAAAACATAATAAACACCTTACAATCCAAAGCGTGTATATAAAATAAATTAACCCCGGTTACCTCTACTCCAAGCTTAACCTCACAGCTTGAGAAATAAGAGCGCAAATTACAAACTCCGAAGTACAAGATAATCTACAAATAATATAGATACAATTTAATATACATACAAATAATTAACTTAAATTACATAGAATTTATTATTAATAATATCTATACTTATATTTACTATCCAAAAATTCTTACTTCAATAACAATTTTTCTCTACCCAAATAACTCATTTAAATTATAAATATTTATAAAATATTGTTTTTATCTAATATTGTAAGAATCTCAATTTATAACTTAAGTTTCCAGTTTCAAAATTTTCTAATAATATAGTCTTAACCTATTTTACATTTTAAACCGATTAAAATATCAATAATATATTAAGTAACCCAAATAAGTTATTTAACTTAAATTTAATCGGTAAAAACATTCTATATATCTTGAATAATACATTTTTCAACTAAAATCTTAGTTTAAAATTCTCAAAACAATCAATAAACAACTATAAACCGATTAAAATTTCAATAATATATCAAACAACCCAAATAAATTATTTAACTTAATTTTAATCGGTATAAATATGATATATATCATAAGTGACAGATTTTTCAACAAAATAAATTTGTTTTTAAATATCATGGGTAATAAATGGACAAATCTAAACCGATTAAAATTTCTTAATAATAAATCTTTAAATTTCTACGGTCAAATATTTTCAAAACTCAATACTTACTCTATACCCAGATCACAAAATTTTCTCTAAACATTATAATGATACTACTAATATAAAGCTCTAAATATATAGGAAATATTCATAAGGAAAAATTTAATAGAAAGAAGTGCTTAATGTACCTATATGATCCCCAAAGCTTGTATGACTCTTCAAACTGCTAACACTTCTCTTCTTTTCTCTCAATCTCTCCTTCTGCGCATCTCACTCTTTCTCTCCATTCTTTGCGATCACTCTCTTTTTATTCTTCAAATTGCCAACCGTCCTTCCTCAATTTTTCTTCATTCATTAATGCTCCTCCCCATTTTTCCTTCTTCAGTCAAAACTCCCCCCCTAAATTCCTCTTCCTCTTCAATACGTTCAGCTTTCGGTGGAAAGCTGAACGTGTTGTCCCCTTCCCCCTTTTTTTTTTTTGTTTTAATAAAATATTATTATTTAATAGTAATAAAATATTATTTAATATATTTTTTTTTTGTTTTTTTTGTTTGTTTGTTTTTTTTTTTTTTTTGGAATGTTACACAAATGTTGCTTATATTTAGGGACGAGAGAGAAATGATAGTTGTTGCTTATAAAAAGGATAAACAGAGTATTCATTTAAGGGGATATTTTTAAATATTATTTTTATTAAAATATTTTTTTAAAAATGAATATTTTCCAAATCTTATTTAAATTATATTTTTTAAATAATCACTGGTCTGACCCTAGATCAGCCCCAACCTGATCCATTGAATCGTAACTTCCCATCTCGACTGATTTAGTGTCTAGTCTGATTTTTTATTTATTGGTTAAAAGTATAACTACTTTCTATTTTCCATTTCTCTAATTTTTTTGACTAAAGTATATATTTAGTTTTTGAATTTTATAGTGGTCTTAATTTGATCTCTTTATTTTAAAAAATATACTTTTAATTTTAAAATTGTTAACAAAAATAATAATATTAATATTTTAAATATTAATAAAATATTTTTAAATAACAATATATTAAGTTTAATTTTTAAAATAATTATTATTATTATAAAAAATTATCATTTAAACACAACGATTTTGGTGTTGAACAGCTGAAGATAATATACTCTCTGTAACTAATGGACCAAATTAAACCTTATATTTTTTAAAGGCCATTGCCCCTTTTTGTCGCTAGTATTTTCCATTTCCTTACCTACCCCTAAAAACCTTCCATCCCGTTACCCTTCTTCCTCTTCGCCGAGTCTAGAGCATTTCACCAGCGTCATCCAAGAACATTATCCATTTTCTTCCCTTGCAGAGCGAACAGGATTTCACTTCGTCTCAGATTCTTCCTTTACTTCTCTCTCACAAACCTCCATCTCCTCGAATCCGCGAACATCTACTCCTCTCTGTTACTCCATGGCCTATGGCCCTGTTATCGTCGGGGATGGAGTGACGTTAACATGAAGTTGTCAACGTCGCTGGTTAGTATTCTCTGATTCTTCTCTTGTTGCATTTGTGGTTTCTAAATGTAAATTCTAGATATAATTATTTTTGGAAGTGGAATTGTTGCTTTCTGAATTCACACTTTTGGAACTGGATTAGTTACCTGAATCAACAATGAAGAGGAAAAGGACACACGGAAAATAGATGAGGGTATTGTTGATACTTGGTTGTTGAAAAATTTTGATTTTGCCATTAATGCTTTCAACGGACATCTTCAATCCATAAGTAGAGGGTGGGTTGGTTTGGAGGAAGAACATGGTTTCAAGTTTTCCTTGTCTTGTTTTGTTTTTAGATGGCTTAACCATATTTTGGGGTTGCTAGCTGCGTTTTGAGCATCCAAAATGCAGATCCAAACATAAGCTGAAGGTTTGTATGTGTATTGAATGAATGGTAAAGGTGCGAATCTGCTATTCATTTTGTTTTTATCTGTGATTTGGATGCAATTTGAATCCTCACAATGATCTGACATGGCTTTAAATCTGCAATTGAAATGTTGTTTTCTGGAAATTTTTTTTTTTTGACAGAACGATTGTGGAATCTTAACTTTTAATTATACCGTTGCGGTGTTTTTTTTTTCTGTCACTTCTGACCATCGTTATAAGGAAGCCAACCAAGCTGGACATCTTATTTCCTTCTTTATCTTCTGATTTAGAGTGATCATGGGAGCTACAGCCATGCAACTCTTCCAAACCCAGGTGACATCGTAAGCGATGCTGTTACATTGTGTAAATGCTCTTTTAACCCCTCATCAGAGGCAAGTTGACACCCACGAAGGTTTTCATTAAGAATGGAAATTTTATCTCATACTTATTTGTAAAGAGTACTCTTTTCAATATTTATTTGATCAAGCTTTGCTCAGAATTGTGGTTAAACTGTATATACAATTTATCTTTTTATTTGCGTAGAAAAGAGGCTATATATTCGACTTATTATGCTCAAAGCTGACAAGTCATGCTACGCAGCTGCCTAGTGGTCAAACTCACTCCACACTTCTCATTCTTCACCCAATACCCAAGACCATTGAATTGCTGGAGATTTCGATGTGGTTCCTCTCGTCTTTGTTATTCCAACTCTTGTATCAATATAAAGTGCACACTCAACAAAAAAATTTCTTATAGCTTCTTGGGGGACCAGAAATCTCATTTGAGTACTTCAAGTCAGACAGCCGCATCATTAGTTGAGTGCTCTGGAGGAATTACTAATAGACTTTCAAACAAAGCTAAGAGAAAAGCTATCAATGAATCTCCTGAAGGAGTCCTAAGGCATAAGCTAAATAAATGCTCTAAGGATGGGGACATGGTTGAGGCACTTAAGCTCTATGATGAGGCACGAAGTAATGGCGTTGCATTGAATGCGCATCATTATAACATATTACTTTACCTTTGTTCTTCTCATGCTTCTGTCAAAAAAGAAAATAAGAGTGATGAAAATACATTGAATTTAGGCCTTAAAAGGGGTTTTGAGATTTTTCAGCAGATGCTAATTGACGAAGTTGCTCCAAATGAAGCTACATTTACAAGTGCAGCCAGGCTTGCAGCTGCAAGAGATGATCCTCAAATGGCTTTTGAATTGCTAAAGCGAATGAAAAGTTGTGGTATTGCACCCAAGCTGAGATCATATGAACCTGCCCTTTTTGGATTCTGCAAGAGGGGTGATACAGATAAAGCTTATGAAGTTGATGCAGACATGATTGCTTCTGGGATTATGGCTGAAGAGCCCGAGCTTTCTGCTCTTCTAAAACTCAGTGTTGGTGCAAAAAAGGAAGTCAAGGTCTATGAAATGTTGCATCGTTTACGTGCTACTGTGAGGCAGGTGTCAGAATCAACTCTTCAAATTATTGAAGATTGGTTCAACTCTGAACATGCAGCAAAAGTTGGAGAAAAACATTGGGATGTTAACATTATGAGAAAAGGGATTGCTCAGGGAGGTGGGGGATGGCATGGGCAAGGATGGCTTGGAAGCGGGCAATGGAAGGTGGTGAAGACCCATATAAATGATGCTGGTATGTGTCTCTCATGCAGCGAAAAGCTTGTGAGCATTGATATTGATCCAAAAGAGACTGAAAATTTTGCTACCTCATTAACTAGATTGGCTTGCCAAAGAGAAGCTAAGGCAAACTTTAACCATTATCAGGTATGACACAATATTTTGAGTTGTCTGGGATTCAAAAAAGAATTTCTCTCATCGAGCTGAATACATTCATATACTGCTATGTATCAGTTTGTTCTTTACTAGTAATCATTTGCTAGAATCATGAGTAGCATTGATGCATTAGACATGCAGAGAAAGAATTATTCTAAACATTGATCAGAAGTGAGATATAATCCTATGCCAAGTTCGCCAAGAAAGGTCAAATCAGTAAACCAGTACATAATAGGTAACCAAAGTGGCTCAAGTCATGTATGAGAATATGCCTAAAAGAGGAAGGATTATCTGATAGTTTTGATCCCAAACAGATAAATATTTAGAATGCTAAGTTTTATTGGCCTAGTCTTGTTACTTGATAGTATTGGCTTTACTATCATGTTGCATGGAGGTAATCTGTCCCCAGTCATTACTTGTCAGTAATAATGCATTGATACGTATACTCATTATAATCTGGAGTAGAGTAGCTTCTAGGATACATGATATTAGCAGGGAAAGCGACAGTGCATTGGTGTCAGTTGTTAGATTTTTTTTTTTTTGGTTAAGATGAACTTTCCAGGTTCTTCTACTTCAGTTTGTTGCAAAACATTTTAACCTTTGAAATTTCATGGCATTTATTGCATGAGAGCAATGAAAGGGTCATTTTGAACTAGTGACCTACATAGGTGATGCGTAATCAATTGCATGAGTTCTAAACATTGGGGTGCAGGAGTAAACAAGATGTAATCGAACTAATTATTGGAGCAGTTGCCTTGATGAGAACAATTTCATGGTTTTAGTTGAAAAGCTCCGCTTTTCTTGTGGGCATGCTGTGATGATGGTTTTACACTTTATTTCTTGAGCTTTGTTGTGTATAAACTAGTTAGTCATGATATAGTGGTTGATATAGAAATTTAACTTTTACAGAAGTGGCTTCAGCGACATGGTCCTTTTGATGCAGTTGTAGATGGTGCCAATGTAAGCCTTGTCAACACGCAAAATTTCAGCTTTTTGCAGGTGGGTGATAAGTTGCTAACTTTATTAGCACTTGTACTAGAACATCTATTTGACAACTCTTCTCTTGGCTGTAGCTTAATTCTGTTGTGCAGCAATTGCAAGAAATGAGTCCTTCAAAAAGATTGCCACTTGTAATCTTGCATGTAAGTCGGGTCACTAGTGGTCCTGCTCAGAAGCCACATAACAAGAAACTGTTAGAATATTGGAAGAAAAATGGTGCTCTTTATGCTACACCTCAAGGTTCCAATGATGACTGGTAATGGAATGCCCCTTCAGTAGTTAAATTACACTTACTCATCTAATTTCATTATACATTCCTGAGTCTTTCATACCTTTGATCTGTACAAGTACGGGCTGGAACAAATTCTTTTCCCTAATCCGAAAGTCTTTTTTATTTTTATTTTTTTTAAATTTAATTCATAGGTATTGGCTGTATGCGGCTGTTAGCTGTAAAAGCTTGTTGGTGACAAATGATGAGATGAGAGACCACTTATTCCAACTATTAGGTTCTAGTTTTTTCCCAAGATGGAAGGAAAGGCATCAGGTACTTAATATTTCAAGGAATTTCTTATAGATTTCTAGAAAATGCATTCATAATGAGGCTGGTATATGTTCTGTGGGTCTTCTCTACATAAGGTTACTCATGGCCACATTGCAACGAAAAAGATGTAATCATCTTCATCTTCACTCAACTAACGATTTCAGTAATCTTATATGGAGAAATTAGGAGGCCGGGAGCTTGATCTACTTTGAGCTAATGAAACATGCTTTGTGGTTAATGTAATTACATATGGTTCATTTCCGCAAAATTTGGTTGTCGTTGATTTTGTAACTACACAATTGCTGTCTTGAAGAGCTTGAGGGTTGCAATATTATATGACTTGTACATCACATCTCTTTTAATGACCAAGGGTTTATTTGTACTTTTGACTCGAAGAGTAAGAGTATTGGATACTTTGATGACTCGCAGGTTAGACTGTTAACCTCAAATAGTCGGCCTTCTCTCATCATGCCTCCACCATATTCAACAGTTATTCAGGTACCACTTTTGTCTTGTTCAATTGATTGATTATAAAATTGTATGTTTTCGCCAATGGCCTAGTGAAGATAGAGAGAGACCATTCGGAATGTGTGATAGTGGGCCTCTTATCAAGTGATCATCCATTTTTCATCGTTTGATGTCATTTGGGTTACAATAAGCATAGAATAAAATAATAGGTTGGCCTTAGAGATCATTCATGCTCGATTCTTGACAAGTTGGGGGTTGTTTTTCTTTTTCTTTCTTTTTTCCCCGCTTTTGACCAAAAGTTGAGGGTTGGTCTATATTTCTCCATTTAGCCATACCCCGTTGTCACAGAGGTTAAATAAGTTTTACGTTGGCCGGACTTAATATAACTCTTTTGTTTGGAATTGGAACCGGATATTATGAAACATTGGCTGATTCTATCCGTACCCCATTTAGAAAATTTTTAAACAGATAACATGGATTTTTTTTGGCATACTTTGTAGATGCTCCCTCGGTTTCATATTATAAGGCAATCTTACCTAATTCATACTCACCAAGAGAATTTTTTTTTTTTCCAACTTTAGCATTCTTTAATATTTATCATTAATTGTTTGTTTGTAATGATTAGCAAGTAATTTTGTGATACTCAGCACATTCTAGGTAAAAAGATATCAACTGTCGTTAAAATCATGTAAAATTCTATACATATTGAAACATGAGATTTTCTGCAAAATGCCTTATAATATGAAATAGGGGAAATCATTGTGAGTCCCTAGGAAAGAATTTAACGAGAGTAGCATAGATTTTGTCTGTCATTTTCTGTATTGAAACTTATTAACTTGTTATGAAACTTTTTAATAATTACATTGCTTGGAATCACATGCTGATTTTCTCTAGAGTATTGGGAGTAAAAGCTTTTTCATGGAAGGGAAGATTGACAATTGTGGCTAATATAATTAACTGCAGGAATCAGCCAATGGTAGTTGGCATGTGCCAACTGTGAGTGATGATGATTATGAGACCCCAAGGCAATGGTTGTGTGCTACCAGATCCAGAAATGTATCATCACTACGTCAATTGTGGACTTCTTCCTCTACATCCATGGCTGCATAGGAAATGGGGTTTGTGAAGTCTTTCAATTTTGGTTCCAGCTCTGAGAAATGAACGATTTAGATTTTTTTTTGGGTTAATTTGTTATTACAAATTTAGTATCTTTAATTTAGAACGATATGTAAAATAAACATTTTTTTAAACTATTTTTGTTGAAATTAGATTTTAATTTTAAAAAATTAAAAATGCAAAATTTCAAATTTAGAATGTTTAAATTGAATCTAAACCCAGCAATATATATACTAGTGTTTGAAAACCCGGACCGGAGCTGAAAACCGGCAACCCAACTAGCTCGGAGAAAAAATGAACTGGTGTGACTCAGGACAACCTAGAGGAAACCCGGGTAACCTGTTGGGTTGTTTCGGTCGCCAGGTTACTTAGAAGAAAACATAAGAAGAAAGGGAAGAAAAAAATGCTGGATTCAGGTTTAGTTCGTCTTTCCATCGCTCCCACCTTGATGCTTGGCTTAGTAGATACTTTTTCAGTGCTTAATATAGGGTCTAATTGTTAAATTATTTTTAATTCTAAATATAAGACTTATTTCTCATATTTATTAATTTTTTTTAAATTGTCTTTATGGATACTCCCTCAATCATAATCAAGTAAGGAAAGAAGGATATTAAGAAAGATGATTATAGTATTTTAGAAAAAATATTATATTTTTTATAATTAACTAACTTACCTAACTTTTTTAATCTAATCAAATTAGTTAAATAGGTCTTATATTAAGGATTAGAAGAGTAGTTAAATAGCATTGCCTCTGGTTTTAAGTGTAAACCCGAGACACTATAGAAGAAGAAAAAAGGGGAATAAAACCAAGATGAAAGAAAAATATAGATGAAGAGGGGAGACGGAGGAGAAAGAAAGATGAAGAGGTGATGAGAGAATCAATACGAAGAAGACGAAGCTGTAGGAAATGAATATTGAAGAGACATTTTGAAAAAAAAAATAAAAAAATCAAGTTAACATTCAAAAACCCATGGATATTTGTAGGTTTGCTAGCACTAATTAATGCATCGAGTCGTGTGAATGAGGAGCAGGAAAGCCAAGTTTGAAAATAAAAAGGTAAAATATACTAACTGCCTATCAGTTTTACTCAAGTTACAAAAACTCTCATCTATTTTGAAAATGCACATAAACTTTCTTTAAAAGTAAAATGCATATTAGATAAATCTCTTGTATATTTGAAATTCCATTTCCATTCATCCATCCAACCATTAGTTGACTGACTTTTAAATTTTTATTTTGATTAAAATACTGCTCCTTAACATAAAAGTTCTTTAAAGATTTATATTTGTCAAAAAATAAATTTTAATACATGTATTTTCAAACTTTTGAATATATAATAAAATTTATTAATTTTGATTATATTATAAAATTTTATAATTTTAATTTTTCATCCCAAATATTGAAACTTATTTATTTAGGTTTCTTTTAAATAGCTACAAAATATATTAAATACATATTTTTTATCATATAATATAAGTTATCGAAGTTTGAGAGAATATAGAAATTATTTAAATTCATAATTTAAATTTTTTGAATAAAAATTTTGTTAGAAATTTTTATAACTTATTATTTATTTAAAAAAAATAAAATTTTCATTCTAGTTTTTTATGTCTACATTAACTAAATTATTTAATTTTTATCCCAATATGATAAAATATTAAATATTTATTTTAAAAAATAAGAAATTAAGGAAAAGGAAAAAAGATTAAATTCTTTAAAACTTTTTAATCAAAATTTAGGGATTTTGTATTATGAAGGGTAAATTAGTAAATAAAAATAATTTTAATTTAAATTCTAATTAAAAAGTTATCTTTTTAGAATATTCTTAATGAAATTAATAGTTTAAATTTAAGTGTATGTTTTCAAAATAAAGGACAGGTCCGTATAATTAGAGCAAAATCTAGGGGAAGTCAGAATATTTTACTCAAAAAAAAAAAAAGATCAATATAGAGACAAAATATAATCTTTAAAAATTTATTTTTAGTATTATTTTCATTTAAAATAGTTAATATATATTTAAAAATATATTATTTTGATCATGACAGTTTAACTCCGAATTGACTTCGATTTGAACTACTAATCCTTGAACTAGTTTCTCAATCGGTTCAATGACCGATTCACTTTTTAATACCTTGTTATATATACACACATGTTACTTCCTGCTTTTAATATAGGATCTCTTTAACAAATTTGTGTAAATTAAGAAAATTAGTTAAATTAATTATTTGTCAAAAATATATGTTAATTTTTCTAAAATATCATTAAATCATTTGCATTAAAAACTAAAAAGGGAATTGTTGCAAAGTCCCTTAGCATGGGTAACAAAAGGAATAGTTTGAAAAAAATAGATTAATATAGAGACAAAATATATTGAGATTTTACATTTAGAATTCAACTTGATCCCTCAATTAACTCTTGTATTTTGAAATTTATAAGAGTGTGCATGTGTATTTTAAAAACTAATAATAGCAAAATAACAAATGTAATTAAAGAACCTGATTTAATGGATATAAATGATTTAAGTTTTGTCCATCAATAAAAGTAGGTTTTGATTCAAATAATTTGAAGTTAAACTTAAACACATTTTATAGTTCCATTAGTATCAAATGATATAATTTTTTTTTTAACAATCATTATTATTATTTTGAAAATTAAACTTGAACACATTTGATAATGTTTTATCAATATTTAAATTTTAATGTCAAACATTTTATAAAATTACGGGATCAAAATAAAAACATGTGTAAAATTAAAACTAAATGTGTATTTTTGTGATTAATTTACATTGTTAAAATTTGACATGAATGTTCAAAACTAAGGGGAGAGAAATCGGACTTGTTACACATACTGACACATTTGTAAGAGGATAAGACATTAATAGAGTTCAGTCTCCACCTCTGTAAGACTCACATTTCTGGGAAATCATCAGCAAAGAAGATTGCTTTGTTCCAGCTATGACGGAATTAAATAGGGGATGAACAGCACATGCAGTTACTCCTTCAGATAAAGGAATAAATCTGTTCTGATTTTTCCGGTTGTTCACCCCTGACATTTCCTGAACATCCTCCCTGAAAGAAAGTTTAAAACTGGTAGTTAAGGGGGCAACCAAAAAAAAAAAAAGACATGGAGGATACATGGAACTAGTAAATTATGACAGATGAAGATATGTTCATAGGTATGAAAAGATGCCAAGATAAAGAATTCTTATATGTATGTATATGTAATCTCAATCATATTTTACAGCAAGACAATGATTGAGATGAAATATTTTCTTCTTTCCTTAATTTAAGTCCCAATTTTCATCTTTCTTTTGTCCCTAAATTTACGTCCTAATACAGAGAGTTCTAGATGTAGTCAATGCATGTTCCCAAAAAATACCCCTCGCAGAAAATCTGAATTACCTATCCCACCCTTGATATCTAAAAAAATGCACTATTTTTCATGACATTTAAGGGCGAGAATAGAAATAAAAACTAATTTTTACATATCACATAGATTTTAATATTTTCTTGATTTGTGTGTTTTTCAAAATTAAGAGTTTATAGTAAGGGACAGGGTAAATATGAGTTTATCTTCTCAATGTTGCAGTGCCTTACTTGAAATCCACATGGCTTGATGAGCTAGTGCTGGGATAGAAATCCAGGAGATGAATGCCAGAGTCCGATGACGATCCAACCACATAGATCTGCACTTGGTTACAGCATATAAATGCTTATTTCATGTTTTCGTGAGCCTCCAACCAAAAATAAAATAAAATTGCAAAGTCCACAAAATAATTAAGAGGAAAAATGACAAAGAAGACATCTGTAGGAAAATAATAACACTCAGTTGGAAACACGGCAACTTGTAAGAATTGAAAGCCTAATTATAAAAATCGAAAACTCAGTGGTAAATACTCAAAACTCAACCCATTTTTTCAGATTTCTGTGCGTTCTAAAATCTAGAAATTTTATTACATATCATAAACAACAATGCAGTTGTAAATCACGAATCGTGGAAGAGTAATCATTTACAACTTTAGCTTCCAGTTTTTACAATTGTTCTACTGGTTTTTAAAAGTTTATGTTTCCAACCAAGTAGGGGTATTTCGTTCCATAGAATTTCTTTTCTCAAAATCAGAAAAGGATCATGATCCTCAGTTGTCGTTTCATGAATTGAGGGTCCTTAAGTGTCATAAAATACAAAGGAGATGTTAGCACTATGAAGAAAGATTGAAGAGAACAACACATATGCAACAAGAAAAGTAAGTCAGAAATTCTCACCGAACACGTGGACAACCATGAAGGTTTTCTTATATATGATGGCTCAGCTGAAACGTAAGAATCATTTCTAACAAGAATGAACAGTAAATGCAAAATGATTAGATTTCGTGCGGAGGGCGTTTTGATAAACTTCAAAAGAACAACTCAAGTTATGAACTTACAACCAAGCAGGCGGAGGGCAATGAATATGCGTAACTCTGGGATTATAAATATCCAGAACGCCTGACCTACATCAAATTATTAAGGAATATTTAACTAAAATCAGAAATGATGGAAAAATAATTACTTCATAAAATTCAATATAAAGTAGCAAAGCTAGATCTACATCATCATGATATCAAATACACAATTCAAGACAATGCAAGGGCTGTTAAGAAATGGCAACGTTATTTTTATTGAGTGATTCGATAAGTGATAACAATATAAAATCACGAGTTAATGCCTTCATCCTTGATAAAAAATATACTTTCTTCGTATAAAATGATGCAAATTCTCAAATCAAGCACTTTGAAAAAATTATCCTGGTGATGGAAGAACGTCTAGGACTCTAGGCGGTATATAAGGAACAGTTGGCTGTTATAACTAATATTTAGTTCATTTATAACTAGTCTATAAGATTTTAAAGAGAATTTATTTAAGATTCCATAGACGCTAATTTGTTCCTCTTCCTTTCCTTTCTTTTCTTAATTACATTTGAAAAATGCCAATTTCCTAACTTACCAGCCATCATCAAGGTGGAATGCCAACTGATACGGGCAAGATGGATTAAGATTGATGGAGTGTATCTCCTTTGGAAGAACATCTGATTGCGCCTGCACAACAATATTTGTGGTTTAGCATAAGTATGCAAAATCAATAGTTGTGTTGTATGATCCCGGAATCTTATTATATTCCATAA